TTCGGTCATGCCTGTACTTGGTTACGCACCCGTAGAGATGTTCCCACACTCAAAATCTCGAAACGGCGCGGTAATAAGGCCCCAGGGCATGTACTATGCGCTATCGCCGCCTGGCCCCGCTACGACCGCCCACCTCGGGATGTGGTGCGTGGCTGGCATAACGTGTGAAATCAGCTAGGTTGATTGCCGTATCAACCGATAGAACGACTGACATCTCCAGAAAACTTGTTTGTACGTGCCTCTTCCCCAAGCCAGCCTCCTTCACTGCTAGTGGGAAAGAGGGTTTTGTTAACGGCCTTGTCGACGGTTTTTCTCAGTTTTTTCTCCACTGTCGTTCCACTTCGCATCTCTATACTCAGTTTCAATCGCCATAATACCCCCTTATTGAGCCCGACTTTTGCCTTTAAGATAAAATACTCCGCCAGATATCAGCAAAGCGTGTTGGAAGCAGCTTATCCGCGCAACTTCTATCAAGTGCGGTGGCTGCCACGTCATTTCCGGTGACACGCCCAATCAGACTTCGAGATATCGCCTGTATTTCTTCCTAACTCATCTTTTCCACCACCAAGTATGCTTTGTCTCTTTGTGTTTCAATGTGTTGTTTCTTCCTTATTTCCCTTATCTGTTTGTCAATGTAGATACCGGTCCTGAAGGGTAGTAGTTTCTCATGTGTTAGCTTGTCAACCAGTCGGTTACTCGATCTTTATTACTATCGTAGTCGATATGCAGTACATCGCATTTCGCAGTCCCATCCGGGAAGGTCTATCTAGCCTATGGCAGCGTCACGTCGAGCATTCGGAACGGCGCGTGTAACCCTCAACAATCTCTGGCATGGTCTAGGTGGGGGAAATCCAATGCGTAACTCAGTCGGCACCTGGTCATCGGTTCCTCGCACATTCTTCTTCATATCAGATGTGCTTCAGCAGCTTTCGTGACCTGGACCGCGGTCTAAATCACTAATGGTGATTTTCACTGGAGCCGCACTTCACTCGCACATCACATGGAAAACCCAAAATGCCAATGAATGCCCGTAATGCACGCAAACCACAACTATTATCAAATACACAGCAATCTGACTGGCTCCAGCCTCATCGTGGAATGGGTCACAGCGGAAAGCAAAGGTCTAGCTCAGTTTATAAGTGTCGTTACTGATTATTTGTTGTAAATGGACTTATGAGCAGAACTATCTCTATATTGTAAACTGCCCACCCTAAGACAGGCGTTTGCGAGCCCTTAAACTTCATTATTTTTTCTTCGAAAAAATGCTAAGAGAAAAAACTTAAAATAAAAAAAAACCATTTTTCTGTCAGCCCTTTTGCGCATCTCAGGGAGCTTCTCAAGCTGATCCGGTCGTTGAAGAAGCGAGGCTATTTGATCCAAGGCGGCCTCATACCCGTTATCTTCCATACTGGAACATACTGTAAATTCCTTCTAATAAGGACTCAGGCTCTGGATTCATAAAAGTGACATTCTAATGAAAATAATAGGATATGGGTGTACCATGGACAAATTTAGAACCTTCTTTTAAGTAAAACACTTCATTGAATTGAAACAAACAAATTTTACGTGGATAGGTTCTAAAATGAGCGCATTACAAATAGAAACATTAGAAAAACAAACGATCAACGAATAAATGCGCTTTAAACTCCAGAAGGCACATAGTAGGAAATGGAGAAGAAATGGCTCATCACAGTTCTTCCTTCTTGACAGCTCCAGCACCAGTATACTGCTGCCCTTCTAAGGTTATCTAAAATGTTCAACGAAATTCAGTTCTAAAGCACTAGCATGGAATTAGTATGGCAAAAAATACAAAAATGCGAAAGCCACAGACACACCTCAGTGACCTCCGTTTGTTTTAGCAAGAAATCCTTGGCTTCGAAAGCCTGCGATCCATCAGGAAACATGAAAATAGCTCGATCATCGTCTATTAAGAAAACCTAGAACGCCGTCCAAGTAAGTGAATTCCCGTGACCTTCCAAAGATAAAATTGCAATTTGTGTATGCGTTCTCTGCAAAAAATGACCGAGTACCAGAATTTCTTAAAAAATGCATTACTTGCAAAGGCATATACATGAATATACATGAATCTCATGATCTCCATTTCAAGATATACATGCGTTCAATAATGATACAGCCACCTAAAATTTGTTCGAAAACTTAAGTTCATTAAAAACTGTCCAGATAGAAAATGTGACAAATTTCATGGCGAGTTCAGATATCAACACAAAAATCCATGTTGAAAACACTAAAAAATTTTGTGCTCATTTTTTCAGAAGAGGTCGATTTTCCTATGTTCAAAAATGATACAGCCACCCCGTGTTTCTTCGTTGAAATTCATTTTTGCTTCATGAAACTGATTCGCAGTTATCAGGCTTTCACCTTAATGTTCCCACAAGATAAAAAGACAGTTTGTTTTGAAAAAAGGTAAACTGTAGCAAAAAAGGACCAGGAATCGTCAAGCAGTCATATTGCGCAAAAATTGAGTCAAAGCTCCAATACGGTTAACAATCTTTTCTGGAATCCTGTAGGTTATGGAACAAAGAAGAGCTCTGGATGTTCATCATTGCTTTTTGGTCAAGTTAAACTTCGCATTTTGGGAAACATTTCAATTTCATCGAACAGTGCCCGGAATTCCAGTCTTCTTTCAGAATTAAACTTTCAATGGATATTGTTTGGGATGTGTTGAAAATTTTTCG